TGTGCCGAGGTTGGTGCGTAAACCTGTATGGCCTTCAGCGAATACCGTTTGGTGATTCTGAGTATAAGGTACGCAACCCTCGTCGACACACTCCCAATCTTTACAACGTTGTTAACGAGAGACTTGTGGACGATAAATCCGACACCTCCTTGGGACAGATGGTCGCCCTCCCGGTGATAGAGCAAGTTGCCGGATTCGAGGATTACCGTGTCCTCCCCCTCTCTTCGGACTTCGGATAATCCTATAATATGCCAGCGCCACTTGTCCATCTCTTCTTCCAGCTCCACGATCTTCTCGTCAGTCCTCAGGGTGCGTGCGTTGTACGTTGCCAGGTCGAGTCGACTACCATCTTGACTCAAGCGAACTTCAGTCAGCCATTTGTGCTCCGCACAGATGCTAGCAGTTATGCCTTGGGCGCTGCTCTATTACAGGGTGAAAATCATGACGAAAAGCCAATTGAGTATGCGAGTAGACTTTTGACATCCGCTGAACGAAACTATTCAACCACAGAACGAGAAGCCCTGGCTGTTATATGGGCTGTTGAAAAGTTTCGTGGTTATCTCGATTGCCATCCTGTTATTGTAAAAAGCGACCACCAACCACTCAAGTGGCTGTTGACATTTAAATTCCCAAGTAGTCGGCTTATACGATCGGCATTGAAACTTCAGGCGCTTGACATCCGATACGATTACACACTTGGTAAAGCCAATGTGTTAGCAGACACTGAGTCGCCCACAGTGTGATGACTCTTGCTTACAGAGTTGTGACCTCTGTACTGTCGTTGTCGATGTTCCAACTATAAGCTCTAGTGAACTCCGAGCTGAGCAGTTGCAAGACCCTGAAGTAGCCAAAATCATTCAGGATCTTGAGGCTTCTGATACGGCAGGATTACGCTGGTTAGATAGAGGTTATCTTATGACTCAAGGTGTGTTGTTTCGTTTCCATTCTGAGTCCGATTCAGAGGAACCTCAGCTAATTGTACCAGCCACGATGCGTGAGAAAGTAATGCAAGAATATCATGACTCGCTTACTGCCGGACATCTAGGTGTAGAACGTACTGTTCCACGCGTGAGCCGAAAATATTACTTTCCTGGAATGCGAAGAAATATTACTGATTATTTGAGAAACTGTCAAGAATATCAGTGTTCTAAAATTAATAACCAAAAACCTCCTGGTATATTACAGACTCCGATTCTCAGCCAACGTGGTGAAGTTCTCGCTGTTGATTTATTTGGCCCATTGCCTGAAGGTGAGAAAGGACAAAATGAGTCTTATTAATAGAGGATACTGCTACCAAATGGGTAGAACTCTTCGCGTTAGAAGATGCAAGTGCTGAGACTTATGCTCAGATACTCATAAATGAATATTTCTTGGCATGCGGTTTTCCTCGTACAGTCATTTCCGACAGTGGAGTTCAGTTCGTATCTGCTACCATGCAACAGTGCTTGTTCATTATAGGCATTAAGCAAAATTTGATTCGTCTGTATCACCCGGAATCCAATCCCGCTGAACGTAAAAATCGTGACTTAAAAACTCAGTTATCCATATTAGTTCAGAATGAGCACCGGTCATGGCCTAAGTTTTTGCCACAGGTTAGATTTGCCATGAATAGCGCCACCTGTCTTACTAATGCTTGTAGTCCAGCTTATATGACCTTGGCTCGTGAGCTACGAACGCCATTCGATGCTCAACGTGATCCTAGATCCACATTAAGTAAAAATAACTTCCTTCCACAGATCACGCCTTACCTGAAACGTTTTATTTCTTCTTTCGATAGAATTAGGGAAAGAGCAGAGCATCAGCAGAATCATCAGAAAACTTATGCTGATAGGGGCCGCCGATATACTCCTGGGTACAGGAAAGGAGACCTAGTCTTGTTTACCACACACTTATTGGTTGATGTCTCAAAGGGTCGTACTAGGAAGTTTATGCCCAAAAGGGATGGTCCATATCGTATTTCTAAGGTTGTAAGTCCAACTTCCTACGAAGTTTCTCACGTAGATACCTACGCGGTGGTACGGAAGTTCCATAGTTCCGCTTGAACTCCTTTCAAAGAACGCATTGGGTTTAGCTCAGCTCCGGTTCAACCACGTCGTCATCGTGGACGGCCGCGCTATCCAAATACGTCGCCGCTTGATTCAGTAGCCAACTCACAAACGGGACGTTCCTGTGATTTGGAGGAGGGATCGTGCATAACTTGTAATTGTTTTAATTAAGTTTACTGTACCGTGCCGAAGTAATATTAAAATACTTGTGAAATTACCCATGTACTAACTTGTGCGCTACCTACCTAGAACCTACTAAACCCCATTAAAATACTACTTTTATTTCTGCATAGAATTGTGTGATATTCCTATAATATATATTTTATATAGACCATTATGGCAAGTCCTCTCTTATTCTTTGGTCATTGCACTGACTTATGCCCAAATACTCAAACGCTGCTCAATTTTAAGATACCGTCAAGTCTCGTGCTGTCTCTATCGCTTTAAGTCAAAGTAACTGTGACACCATGAGACTTAACGACATCAAAATTGAGTAGCGTTTGAGTATTTGGCCATTAGAAGTATAGGTAGGTATATTTATATCTCTAAAGCTCGCTTTTCACTATGGGATATAAATATAATATATATTATATCCCGAAATATAAATTATGTCCCGCGATTGGCTTTTATACTGTGAGATATATCTTTTAACCAGTGTGCGTTCGTCATTGGATTACCTCCTGTACCCTGCACACCGTTTTGCGGCGTCGTGGAATGGTGTGCGGGGTGCAGGGGGCGAAATATAATATGAAAATATCACTCGGTCGATTGAAATAATTATTATAGTATGAGATGTAATATATATTACATCTCAGTGTAAACGCTTCCAGTAAAAAGTACGGTGAGCGTTAGTAATTTATATCTCGAGATGTATAGTCTTTGCGTTATAGTATGGTGCGGGTGACAGCTCACGCCTATGAAGTTTCGTATTTTTTTAGATAAACTGTCATACAGGTATTGCACAGAGTACATTATATATAGGGAAAGGTATTGTATGGATGGCTCGCTCGAAAAATTATTCGTTGTTCAGCTCAGGCAAAAAAAAAAAATAATTATAAAGCAAATTACGAATTGTGTCAAGAAGACCTTATGATAACTCATGGCGGCCAAAATGGCTACATAAACCTATTTTTTTTTTATTTCATTAGATTTATAAACCAAGTTTTCGATTATTTTTACCTCCTGTCCCTATATTTGGCCCATTGGACTTGGCATAACTAATACGCATATAGCAAAAGGCGCTAGCACTCGTACGTTGAAAAGCTGCCGGTGCAATCTACGCCGTATTGAAAATTACAGATGCTGGCAGCCATTTCATTTATTTAAATGTCAATATGAATGTTGTAATCAACATGAAATAGAAGATGATTTTTATTTTCAAATTAAAGCATAGTATAATCTATACATTAAAGTGTCTGTTTGTAATATCAAAATACTAACATAACATTATAATAATAATAAAAGGCGTAGGGAAGTGACGACCCCATCGCCCGCTGACGTAACGGTTATGTGACAAAACTGCTACGTCAGCGCAGTACTGCCTCGGCAGTATTGAGGGTGCAAAGGCCCGTTTGTGCTTACGGCCACACTATTAAACGGCGCCGGGTCTGGGCGTCTCCCATTAATTGACGCCCAATTTAATGGATTATGGAAAATAATAGAGCGCGCATAGGGCCGCTGCCTGGGGGTCGCCGGGGCGCGTCTGGAGCTGGCGCTGGACGTGACAGCATGCGAGCCGCCAGCCGAGCGCGAGGTGCTGCACGACCACCTAGCAGCCCCTCGCGTCCATCATCCCCACCAGACGGCTTGGTGTCGGCGGGGTCCTCTCGGACTTGGCAAGCGGCACCCGCCGCTGGTGAAGTACGCCGCATGCGTTGGACAAAAAATATGAACATAAACGCATTGCGGGCGTACTATAGGGCGAAAGGGGAAGAAACTGGAGGGATAGCGTATCGGGCTCGGATGCGTCGCTTTTTTGCTGAGCTTGAGCCGTCAGTTCCCGTCACGGAGCAAAACCTGGCAGACCGAGTTCGGTACATCATACGCTCGAAAGTATTTGATGATGCCGAATTCGAACGACTACGACGTGAGGCTATTCCCTCATCGAATGAACCGGCTATAGCTGGGGATGCGGCTCTTCAGGCCACAGACCAGCAGCCACATATAGAGGGCGCCATGGATCTCCCCGCTCTGGTTGATTCAGACGATAATGGAATGGTCACCCAAGAACTAGAGCAGATGAGGAGTAAATTGGAGGAGGCGATTGTGGAAACGAGCAGTACTCCTCTCGAAAATCGACTGCGACTCCCGCGCATACCCCTAAGCAAGCGGAATCGGGCTGTCGTGAGGGCTCTCAACCCAATGCTGGTGACCTATTTGGAAGCCAGCCAGGACCTTTGCGAGACGGACTCAATTCTTTTTGGAGCCGCACTGGCAGTTTGCCGTATTGTTGGCGCCAAACTTCCCACGGCTAGACGCGCTACTAGACAAAGTAGCGCCATCCCAGCCTGGAGAAGAAGGATTGAGGACCGTATCGTAAAGGCAAGGGCCCTCATCGGCAGGCTGATAAGCTTCAGGTCGGGCAATAATAGGCCGAGAATTGTGCGCACCGTCAGAATGGCGTTTGCTGGGACAAATATCAGTTTGTCCCAGCCGGATATAACGCAAAAACTGACGGAGCGCATAGACGACCTGAAGCAGAGAATCGCTGCTTGGGGGAAGCGGATTCGGCGATATACCGAGAGGTCGACACGGTTCAACCAGAATCGTCTCTTTCAGAGTGATCAGAAGAGGCTCTACGAATCATTGGAGCGGCCAATGGTATGTGGAACGGGCTCAGCACCGAATCAGGCCGACACTATCGCATTCTGGCGCGGCCTGTGGTCAGAGCCCGTAAACCACAGCGAGGGCCCTTGGACGGAAGTTGTGGCGAGTCAGTGTGCGAATATTACGCCCATGGACCCCGTCATCATAACGCCGGATGACGTAGTTGAGGCGGTCCGTAGGGCCCCGAACTGGAAATGTCCGGGCCTCGACGGGCTGCATCACTACTGGCTGAAGGGGTTCGTGGTGTGTCACGCTGTGCTCGCCCGACAGTTTCAAGAGGCTCTCAACCAGAAGTCGCTCCCGAGCCTCTTCACTACTGGGATCACTCATTTGGTTCCTAAAGATCAGGATACCACAGACCCGAGCAAATACCGCCCCATCACGTGTCTACCCACGATATACAAGACACTGACATCCATTTTGAGCGCGAGAATCAGTCGTCACCTGAACTTAAATCAGGTGATGTCGTGCGCTCAGAATGGATGTAGAGGCGGTGGTCGTGGAACCAAGGAACCACTGCTCATTGACGCGGTCATTGGCAAGGTGGTTAAACGCAACCGTCGGAACCTCTCCGCCGCCTGGATAGACTACAAAAAGGCATTCGACTCGGTGCCTCATGCATGGCTTAAGAGGGTCCTCGAGCTGTACAAGATTGACTGTACAGTTAGAGACTTCCTCGGGCAGTGTATGGGGCAGTGGAGTACGATCCTTTGTCATCTAGGCGAGCGGATGACGGCTGCGGAGAACCACATAAAGATAAGAAGGGGTATCTTCCAGGGCGATTGTTTGAGTCCAATCTGGTTCTGCCTCTCTCTGAACCCTCTCAGTACCATACTGGAGGGCTCCGGGAGGGGATTTCAGCTTCGGAAGGGAGGTACAAAAGTGACCCACCTTTTCTATATGGATGATCTCAAGTTATTCGCCTCCAGTCGCTCTCATCTTATGGAATTAATTCTATGGAAAAAAATTCTATTAGAATGGAGCTGGGGACGGATAAGTGTGCGGTCCTCCATGTTGAAAGGGGAAGGGTTGCTAACTCTGAGGGCATAGATTTATCTATGCCCATCAACATAAGGACCCTTTCCGAGGCTGACACATACCGATACCTGGGTATGTCACAGAACATCGGTGTAGATGAGGCGGGTATGAAACAGTCAGTTTGCGATGTGTTTTATGCACGCTTGACCAAAGTGCTTAACAGCCTTTTGTCCGGTGTGAATAAGACGCACACATATAACGGTTGGGTCATGCCTGTTCTCATGTATACCTTTGGCATACTTAGGTGGACTCAGACCGAACTAAACGCTCTGGACAGAAAGGTCCGCACTATAATGACGTCACACAGGATGCATCATCCGAGATCGTCAGTAATGAGGCTGTACTTGCCGCGGAAGCATGGTGGGCGCGGCTTTTTAAGCGCGCTTACCATGCATAATCGTGAAGTGTGCAGCCTCCGTAATTACTTTCTGACGAGAGCGGATGATCCATACTATAGGGGCGTTATTTCTTGTGATAAAGGACTTACCCCTCCATCCTTAGCCAACGAGCAATGGCGGGACCCGGCAGTACAGAGCATTTCCGACCGGGAGTCCGTATGGAAGGAGAAGGAGCTCCACGGGAGGTTCTACAAGGCTCTACACGAGCCTTTCGTAGACACAGTCGCCTCCCTCCACTGGCTACGTTTCGGTGACCTCTTTGGGGAAACCGAGGGTTTTGTCTGTGCGATACAGGACCAGGTTATTAAGACCAACAATTATCGGAGATACATCCTAAAGGATGGCACCGTCGACGTCTGTCGAGCTTGTCGCCATCCCGGTGAGTCACTTAGGCATGTCATCCCCGATTGTTCGGCGCTTTCTAACTCTGAGTATTTGCACAGACACAACTTAGTAGCCAGGATTCTACACCAGGAGCTCGCTCTGAAATGCGGTCTCGTGGATCGGAAACTGCCGTATTATAAGTACTTGCCGGAAGCCGTACTCGAAAATGACCGCGCCAGGCTCTACTGGGACCGGGCCATCATCACAGACAGGACTATTCTTGCGAATAAGCCTGATATTGTGCTGATGGACCGGGCACAGTCAAGGATATTTTTGGTCGACATTACCATTCCTTATGACGAGAACCTCGTGAAAGCCGAAACAGATAAGCTGATAAAATATCTGGACCTGGCTTACAAGGTGACCGACATGTGGGGTGGACTGCCGGCCGAAATTATACCTGTAGTTGTCTCTGCGAATGGGTTAATTCCAATCAGCCTCTCGGGTCATCTGAGGCGACTGGGACTCCGTGACGGACCGCTCCAAGCTCAAATGCAGAAGGCGGTGCTCCTCGATACCGCCCGCATCGTCCGCCGGTTTCTTTCCCTTTCCCCCTAACCCTCGGCCGTTTGGTCTCCCCTGCCGAGGGCTTCCATCTGGTTGGGTTTTTATATATTTATGTAATTTTTATGTATTTATTTTATTTTATTGATATTTATGTACGTTTACTATGATTATTTACAATTATATATTTATATTTCCCAACCAGATGAGAAAACTTTATAAATACCACATAATAATAATAATAATAATAATAATTTATTTGATACAGACAACAGAGATCCATTACAAAATTAAAATTAATTTTTTTTAAACTATACCTTAAATTTTAATTATAATTATTGGTTAATCAATGATATTATTACATTTTATTAATAAGATTTTAATAAATTTGACCATCTACTAAAAATTTCACTACATGTATACATATTACAAATAATTTTGATGAGATTATTCTGCGACCCAAAAACAAAACTTCTAAATCGCGCGATACGGTGACGGATCAACGCATCCAAACCAACGATACGGGCCTCTGCGAACATCTGGGACGCGCTACAGTATCTTGGCTGACGGAACAACACGCGGAACGAATCATTATACTGCACCTTCAGCCTGCGATATTCCTCTTTAGTGTAATTCGTCCACAGCTGAGGAGTGTAAAGTGGCTGACAGTAAGCTGAAAACAACGCCAGCTTTGAGGTGTAAGAACACCTTTGAAAGCGTCTAGCTATCATGTTGGCACGCACTGACAAGGAACGACGCTCGCGGTCCATATCGGAACCATCACACAGATGCTGAATAACAATCATCATCATTACAGCCCTTCACAAGTCCACTGCTGAACATAGGCCTCCCCCAAAGAATGCCACAAAGCACGGTCCTGAGCCACCTGCATCCATCGACTTCCTGCATGTCTTACCAGGTCGTCACTCCATCTCGTGGCGGGACGCCCTACACTTCGCCTACCGGTACGAGGCCGCCACTCGAGAACCTTTCTTCCCCATCGGTTGTCGGTTCTTCGAGCTATATGGCCGGCCCACTGCCACTTTAGCTTACTAATCCGTTGGGCTATGTCGGTTACTCTGGTTCTACTGCGGATATCCTCATTCCTAAGTTTATCACGCAGAGAAACTCCGAGCAGAGCCCTCTCCATAGCTCGCTGAGCGACCTTGAGCTTTCTCATACGGCCAGCAGTGAAGGACCACGTCTCAGTTCCGTAAGTCATCACTGGCAACACGCACTGGTTGTACAATTTTGTTTTAAGGTTTTGAGGTATGTCTGACGAAAAGATGTGTCGTAGCTTCCCGAACGCTGCCCAGCCGAGTTGAATCCGTCGATTGACCTCTCGGTCGAAGTTGGACTAACCTAGTCGGACTATTTGTCCTAGGTAAACATACTCGTCAACAACTTCGAGCTTAGTGTTCCCAACAACTACCGGCATAGATGTGACATGGACATTAAACATGATCTTTGTTTTGTCCATGTTCATCTTAAGACCTATCCGTTGGGAAACACTATTGAGGTCATTGAGCATAGTGCTTAGGTCCTCCAGCGATTCTGCCATAAGGACTATATCGTCGGCAAATCGAAGGTGAGTGATGTACTCGCCATTGATGTTGATACCGTATCCTTTCCAGTCCAGAAGCTTGAAAACGTCTTCCAATGCAGCGGTGAAGAGTTTCGGGTATATGACGTCACCCTGTCTTACACCTCTCTGCAATTGGATAGGTTTCGTACTCTGGTTCTGTACTCGGATAGCCATCGTAGCCCTACTGTACAAGCACTTCAACACTTCGATATACCGACAGTCAACTTGGCACCGCTGAAGGGACTGCAGCACCGCCCAAATTTCGACGGAATCAAAGGCTTTCTCATAGTCCACATACGCCAGACATAGTGGCAAATTGTACTCTTCGGACTTCTGTACAATTTGCCGAAGGGTATGTATGTGGTCTATGGTGCTAAAGCCCTTTCGGAAACCGGCTTGTTCGGGAGGCTGGAAGTCGTCAAGTCTGCGCGCGAGACGATTCGTAATGACTCTCGAAAACAGCACGTAGACGCGGCTCAGAAGGGAAATCGGTCTATAGTTCTTCAAGAGAGCGTTGTCACCTTTCTTGAAGAACAAGACCACCGCACTTCTGCTCCACACCTCCGGTGTAATGCCACCATGGGGGACGGAATTAAAGAGCTTCTGAAGGACTTCAAGTACCGGTTTTCCACCCGCTTTCAGAAGCTCCGCTGTAATTCCATCCTCGCCTGGGGCCTTACCGTTTTTAAGGTGCTGGAGAGCCATTCTAATCTCGCTCAGACTGACGTCTGGGATATCTTCGGAATAGTGTCGGATGAGACTCGCTCTTGGATCGTTACTCACACTTGCGTGTAGCTCCAACGATGACGTGTACAACTGCCCATAGAACCTCTCAATCTCACTCAAAATCTCAGGTGTCCCGGAAACGATGCTGCCACACTCCGTCTTCAGCTTTGACAGTTGGCTCTTTCTGGCAGACAGATCTCTGGCAAAGACTTTGGAGCCTTGGTTCCGCTCGATCGCTTCTTCAATACGAGCTGTATTGAAGTTGCGTAAGTCCCGCCGCATGCATTTGGAGATCTGTCTGTTCAGATGCCTGTATGCTGTCAAGTCTGTTGAAGAATGTAGCTTCATCTCCCGTCTAACAGCCATGAGATTAAGAGTGTGATCGGAGAGTTTTTGTGTTCTTCTGCGGCGGGTCTTGCAGAACTTAGCTCCGACCGCATGGACAGTTTCCACGAGCTTGTTATTCATATCGTCCACTTCATTGCAGTCTTCTAGGCACTGAAAACGGTTTTGTAACTCGAGCTGAAAGGTTTCGGTACTCTGGATTAGAGCACGAGGGGGACGGAGCGTTGACTTCATTAGACGAGACCTCTCCAACTTAACGTTTAGGTTCAGTGTGCCTCTAACCATTCGGTGATCGCTACCAGTTTTCACCCTCGCGATCACGGAGACATCACTGAACAGTTGTCGTCTGGTCGTCATAATGAAGTCAATCTCATTTTTTGTCGAACCGTCGGGGCTCGACCAGGTCCACTTCCTGTGGGGCCGCTTCTGGAAGAAAGAGTTCATCATAAAGAGTCCCTCTTTCTCCATGAAGTCGGCCAGCTGCTGGCCCTTGGGTTCCGTTGCCCTATTCCAAATTTCTCTACTTTCAGCTCACCGTTCTCTCTTGTGCCTAGTTTTGCATTGAAGTCTCCCATTAACACCGTATATTGGGTTTTGGAGGAATGCATGGCTCTAGAGATATCCTCATACATTTCCTCCACCTCCTCATCGGGGTGTGCCGAGGTTGGTGCGTATGTGTATAACCTGTATGACCTTCAGCGAATACCGTTTGGTGATTCTGAGTATAAGGTACGCAACCCTCGTCGACACACTCCCGATCGTTACAACGTTGTTAACGAGAGACTTGTGGACGATAAATCCGACACCTCCTTGGGACAGATGGTTGCCCTCCCGGTGATAGAACAAGTTGCCGGATTCGAGGATTACCGTGTCCTTCCCCTCTCTTCGGACTTCGGATAATCCTATAATATGCCAGCGCAACTTGTCCATCTCTTCTTCCAGCTCCACGATCTTCTCGTCAGTCCTCAGGGTGCGTGCGTTGTACGTTGCCAGGTCGAGTCGTCTAAGGTGGCAACCGAACCTCCACCGGAGATTCTTAGCACGCCCTGCCCCGCCGTTACCATGGTCGC